GCCCCCCCCCGCCGCTGCCAGAGCCTGGTTTCATTCGTGGTGGTGTTCCACACCTCCAGGGCTTTGCTATTGTCATTTGGCCATTCCTCTGTGGGATGCTCACGCAGCTCTTGCTGCTGCTGCAGGTTGGAGAAGTCGAGCCAGGTCCGGACAGTGTCCAGCAGCAACTTGTTCTTCAAGGGAAGCCGGTTCCGATACAGGTAAATAAGGACGGGAAGTAGCAGTTACTGGATGTTTTTGGAAGCTCCTTTGGTGGTGCTCTGGGGAGCAGTTCAGGGCTGCGGTGGTCTGAGGACATGCTACGGGTCCTCCTGTCAGCCCTGGTGAGGCCATCACTGCCTCTTTCTCTATTTCCCCACTGACACCCCACTCCCCAGCCCCAGAGCTGCACATCTTTGGAGGGACAGGAGTGAAGGAGAGGAGAGGATGGGGGGCTTTAGAGTTTGGGTTTTGGGGACAACAAGAGGTGAAACAAATCACCGCAATTCCTAAATTCTGGGGGTGTTGCTGCTCCCCGGCCCTGTGGTGAGAGTCTGGCGCTGGGACCTTGTATCTGCAGGACGAGAGACCCCAGCACATCCCCAGCTTGAGGTGCATGATGCCAGCACCCTCCTCGCTGGCTGCCTGGATGCCCATGGTGGGTCCCCCCGGAGGGGAGGTGACCAGCATCGCATGCCAGGAGAAGCAGGAAAACTCGGTGGCAGAGGTGTCACCCTGCTCCTCTCACCAGCAGACAGCTGTGCTTTCCCTCTGAGTTCTGTGCTGCGCGGGGAGCTTGCAGCTCGTGGTGCTGCGCTCATGTCCTCATCCTGCTGTTCTTGCACCGCCCGCAGTGGCCGCGTTGCGAAGGAGGTGATGGAGTCCAGCGCCAAGATCAAGAGGGAGCCGCCTGAGATTCACCGGTAAGAGCCCGGCAGCAGCAGGGGAGCCGCTGGAGCAGAGGGGGAGTGATCCCACCGCGTTCCTGGGCTCTGGCACCAAGCAGGGCTCTGACACCGTCCCGTTCCCATCTGCAGGGCAGGGCTGGTGCCGAGCCGGAGCTGCCCCTCCATCACCCACGGCCCCCGGCTGAGCAGCGTGCCCCGCACCCGCAGGAGAGCCGTGCACATCTCCATCATGGAAGGTAGGACATGGGCAACCTCCTGGCGCTGGGGACACGCGTATGTGTGCACACACATGCAAAACACATGCACGTACACAATCACACGCTTCCCAGGTGATTGCTGGTGGTGTGATGCTGGAGCAAGGAAGGTCCCCACCGCATCCTCAGGGTCTTATGCTCAGGGCCGGTTTGGCATCAATAGCTGAGCCCAGGCAAAGCTGGAGCTGGTTGTGGGACAGAAGTTTCCAGTGCAGAGGCAAAGCAGAGGGGAACTTCTCAGCAACTTTAGTTTAGGTTAAATCGGCAATACAGCAAAAAGCCCCAGGGTGGGTGTGAGATGGGTGCCCTGCTCTCAATGGGAGCCAGCCCCTGCCCCAGCACAGCCGCACCGATCCCGCTCCCCAGGCTATGGGCACGGACTGGGTGTAGAAACACCACCTGCCCAAAGGGACGGGTCCCTCGGAGCAGGAAAGGGATTTCTTTCCATCGAGGGAGCACAGAGCTGGCGCCTGCGCTGGTGCCTGGGGCGGAAGCGTGCCGGGGTCACCTCTGCGCCTGGTTACATGTGAGCA